GCAAACCCAAGTTGTGCAACAATGGAGCTGAAATTGGCAAACCAAGCACGGAGAGCTTGCTTAAACCCATATAATGCACATCGAAGATGACAGACATTACCAGGAGGATGAGGATACCCTGGGAGAGGCTGCATATAGACCTCCTCAGCCAAATCACTATGTAAGAAGGCATTTTTTACATCCATCTGAAATAAAGGCCATCAACGTACAAAGACAACAGCCAAAAGAGAAAGGACGAAGGTAATACGAGCAACAGGGGCAAAAGTCTAATCTTGGTCAAGGCCAAACTCCTGAGTAAAGGCCCTTTACCACTAAACGAGCTTTATGTCTTACTTCAAAACATTCGGAGTTCATTTTTCTCTTATGCACCCATTTGTTCCCAACTACAGTCTTTCCAGGAGGTAGGTCAACCAGATCCCAAGTATGAGTTTTGTGAAAAACGTCAAGTTCTTCAGACATAGCTTGCTGCCAAACAGGGTCAGAACAAGCTTCGCGACTCGTGAAGAGAGTCAATGTAGAAAAACAATGGTAATCACTAAGATGGGTAGGAGGTGCTTTTACCCTACTAGAATAACAAACATCCAACTCAGAGGACTCAGGAGGGGTAGATGCGATGGCATGATCATCAAACGATCCAGTTTAGTAAGAGGTAGGCGTGGAGTGATCACCAGATGAGCTGACATGACCTGCATTAGAGGATAAATCTGGAGAGAGGTCTATGCCAGGGTCAGTGAAAATGGGAGAGTATGAGAGACAATCGGATGAAAGTGAAAAGATACTAGTGAACACTTCGTGTTCCCAAAACTGAACATGTCGAGAGATTCGAAGACGCTTGGCTATGGGGTCATAGCACCGATAACCCTTGTGTTCAATCCCATAACCAAGAACGCAACAGAGACGAGAACGAGGTTCAAGTTTTATACGTTCATAAAGTGGAAGTAAGACAAAGTCAGCACAACCAAACACTTTGAGAAGAGAATAATCGGGTACCTTTCTATAGAGAACCTCATATGGAGACTTATTGAAGAGAGTAGGGGTTGGAACTCAATTAATAGAGTAAACAACGGCAAGGTATTATCAAATTCATCCTGAATATGCATCATAAAATACATGAATTGACGACAATCACGATATTCAACGAAAAGCTTAATCGACTTCTCATCAGAAAAAACGGGGTCAGCTTAAGAAAGCTGATCCCAAATGCTACTAACCTGAGCATGAAACTCAGCGATAGACCATCCAGGTTTTTGATGCATTTGGGAAAGCTTAGTCTCCAACTAAAACTCTAGAACAGCATCACTACCACAGTTGTAGCGTTTTGCCAAAAAATCTCAAGCAAGTTTGGTATTCCGGAACTTAAGGA